TGCTTGGAGGACACTGGGGACAGACTCGGGAAGAGGGGAAGACCAGGGGCATGTCGAGACCCCGCGTGGCTGGCAGAGCCAGGAGCCAGGAGGCACCGCAGGGCACACGTGGGCAATCTGGAGAGCAGAGACAACTGGGGACTGTAAAGCCTAAAGAGGGATAAAGAGCTCCCACTCCTATGCTTTTGGTGTCTGGTGAAGTCAGCACGACTGCTGTGGCTGGGATGAGCAGGCGCTGCCAGGTGGAGGCACGGCCGCAGATCTGCTGCAGGTGGGGGGAGGCCCCTCCCGGGAATACCTGGCACCCCGCCTCCTCCAGATGCTGGTGGCAGCAGCTCCCTTGTCCTTAATAAGAGCCTGCAGCCTCAGGGAAGCCGAGAAAATTCCACTCACCCTTGTTAATGGCAGGTGAACACAGGTACCTGGTGGCAGGTGAGGAAGCCACAGTCACCTTTGGAATAAGTGTAGGAGGCTTTGCATGTCAAGACCTCCTCAGAATTAGGAGCGCGTGCAGCAGAGTTACCACAGCAGGCGTGAGACTTCGGTCCCCAGAAAGGCCTGCTTCCAAGGTTGGCCCTTGGCTGGCATCTGGGAACTTGATTTTGGGGAGGGTCCCCCTAGTCCCAGACTGATGATCAGTCCCAGACTGATTTTGGGGAGGGTCCCCCCTGTGCCTAAACCGTGTGTACAGTGTGGTTGGTGTCAGAGCCCTGCTGTCCCCCTGGGAGTCTGGGGTTTGGGTGCGTGTCAGGAAGAGGGTGCTCACCTGACCGGCCTCCAGTAAGGACACGGGGCACTGAATCTCTAACGCGCCCCTGCTGGACAGCGCGCTGCTTGGGGACTCCCCAGACCTCACCCCACACCTGTCACCTGGGCAGTTCGTGCTCTGCATCCTTGCACTGTGATAAACCTGCTGTGGTGACAGCCATGTGCTGAGTCCCTGAGTCCCCCTAGTGCATCACTGAACCTGGAGGCGTTCCTGGAGGCCTGGCTCAGACCCCCAGCGCGTCCTGAGCCCAGAAATGAACAGGTGTGCTCCCAGCTCCCCTCCCGCCGCTTCCCTGGGGATCGCCTCTTGCAGTGAATTCACCCTTGCTATCTGACACCCCTCAGTCAGCGCTGTGCTAAGTAGGGGTACTGAACTAAAATAAGATTTTACCCTTTATCTAAAGAAGAATTCAGTGAAATAATTCACATATACATTGAGTCCTAAATTATGTTATGAAGACTTCAGTGTTGCTGGAGCCTGGTGTTTGTGAAATGAGGGTCAGTGAAGGCTGGGGTAGGAAAACAGTGACCTGAGGTGGGTCTGAAGGACAGCACGGCAGGCGGAGCTGTGGCCCCGAAGACACCCACATCCTAGTCTGGGAACGTGTCACCTTACGTGCCAAAGGGGAATAAGGTGCTGATGGAATGAAGGCTGCCAATCAGCCGACTAGAGGGGGGACAGGGTCCTGGATTGTCCAGGTGGGGTGTGTATAGATGCCCAAGGCAATCACAGGGTGCTTAAACATGGAAAAGGGAGATCTTCGTCTGTTCAGGGTGCTGCAGGAAAAAACACAGGCTTGGGTGCTTATGAAGAAGGTGAATTTATTCCTCACAGTTCTGCAGGTTGGGAAGTCCAAGATTACAATGTCTGGTGAGGGCCAGCTTCCTACACAGCTGTCGTCCTGCTGTGTCGTGGTGTGGTGGGAGGTGGGAGGGGACCCCCCGTCGTGCTCTAGGTTTCCAGGGCAGGAGCTGCTGCTCTGCTGTCGGGGGCCTTGGCCTTCTCAGGATAATTAACCTCTGTCCTCTGAGCAAACACTGCAGAGCACTTCTGAGCCCTCTTGCTAAGCCTGGGCTTGGGAAGTGTGAAGGGAGAGGTGTGGACTCGAAAATGGAAAAATTCTCTCCCGGGAAACCTCTTCACCAATTCCCTTTACCTAGTCCCCAACCTCCCTCAACCCACACAATCTCACTCACTAATCCTAAGAGGCAGGAATGGCTAGTTGAACGTCAGAAACTGTCCTTTCTGTAGATCAAAAAAAAAAAAAACCCAGCTGAATATTGCCAACTTCAAACAATTTAACTTGATGTTAACAACACCATTACATGGATGAGGAAACTGAGGCTCAGGAAGGTTTAAGTCATTTGCTGAAGGTCACACAGACAAATAGTCGGAGAGTTTAGACTGGAACAGGGGGCCTGACTCCAGAACCTGCTGTTCTAACGGCAGTGACAGGCTGCTGTCCACGGAAGGGGTTCTTGCTGGGTGATGGTAAGAGATAAGGTTGAAAGAGTTTGATTTTTAGACACGAGGGGTGAGCATCTGGGCCTGATGTGGCAGCCACGGAGAAACCACCGTAGATGGAAGGGCTTAAGCTGGGGGAGCAAAGAGCAGGCTAAACAGGGTGGTGACATGGAGGCAGAAGGCCAGCTGGCTGCTGTAGGAATCAGGATGCTGGCGGTAAGTGGAGAGGAAGGAATGACCAGAGATGCTTTGCCTTTTGGGGCTTCTTTCCTTGGCACCATCTCTAGCACATAGCAGTTGCTCAAAAAAATGCTCATTCAGTAAGAAGTGAACTAAGCAGATAAGGGTAGAGATTGTTCCTTGGCAGCGAGGATGCACCACGTTGAAAATATGGGGTTTCTGGAGCAGCTTTCATGCCGGCCAGTGTGTTGTGAACAATTCCTGTCATGCCTATAGTGACACCTACTGCCAGTAGCACGTGCTGGGACCCTCCACTGCTGACTTCTCTATACTCGTTGCTCCTGTCTTTGTACCTAAGTGGAGCGCTGAGCAGAAATTTGACTACACATCTGTGTGTGGTGGACAGTGTTTGGAAGTGAGTAATCTGGTAGGCTTAAGGGGCACATCTGTGAAAAGATAAACACACACACAGGCTGTTACAAGAACCTCTAAGGTCCCAGGCACCCTGAGTTCTGGACACTGATCCCACATCATAACAAACATGTTAAAATACTCCCATCTATGTAAATACTCTTAGAGAAGTTAAACTTAAAAATTTTCTTTTTGAGGGGAGAGGTAATTAGGTTTATTCGTTTATTTTTAGAGGAGGTTCTGGGGATTGGCCCCAGGACCTTGTGCCTGCTCAGCATGCGCTCTGCCACTTGAGCTATACCCTGCCCCTGAGAACTTATGCTTTAAAAAAATACTTTTCACTTGAAACTACTCGGCAATAGGGAGCTCCTTTAATTAATGGTTGCTGCGACTCCCCCGCAACTGTTGTATTAGGAAGTTCTAAGTGGTTTCTCATGTCATTATATTTGAAAACCGTGTATATCAATCAATACATTACAGGTATGAAGTTGACATGTTATAATTTGGAGATCTCTGAATATTTATTCATTTCAAGTTTGTAGTGTAGTTTTTGCATTTTGGGGCTAGTAAAATTTCTTTTTCAGTCGCAAACCTTTTTCATAGGTCCTTGAAAAGCCTAATGAATAAAACAGCTGGGTGAACACTGCTGCTTGTGTAGGATTGGCCAACTCGACGTAAAAGTCAATGAAGACTCACTTTTCTCTATTCTAAGGCTACCCCAGAACAGAACATGGGAAAACGTATCTTTTTTTCTTCTGTTTCTAGGGCGGGCTTTCTCATTCCTGTCACCAGTGTTATTCCCCAACTCCACTCCCATATTTAGAATAAATGCCAGCTAACGTGCAGGAGAGGCTGGACGCTGAGCATAGACACACAGGGGACCCTTCCTGAGCAAACCCGATGTTTCCTGGGGAAAAGAACTCACGATGAAAATGTCCCTAGTTGGATGTACTAGCATTAACAGGCTGGAACCTGCCGCTTTTACTTCTGACGTTTAGGGGGCAATGGTTTCGGACAGGTCTTCAGCTGGCTGTTTTTTTTTTTCTTTTTCTGACACTGTCGGTCAATTGCAGATGACTGGTCACCTAGGACTGGGTCTGTAACTGGCTGGTTCTTCCCTTGACCACATCTCAGGTGGGCGATTTGCCACCGTCTAGACACGTTACCAGGGGCTTCATCTGGATGAGTGATGCTTCCCACGCAGCCTGACTGGGCTTGAGTGGGGACCCGGGGGTCAGTCTGCGGGGACCACAGCACTGGCCTCTGAGCCCCCACCACTCCCGCCTCGACCTGCACTATCTGGCCTCCACGTTGGCCCCGACCTCCGCCATCTGACACCCACCCCGCACCCGACTGTCCTGACCTGCGCCGTCCGGCACCCACCATCCGCCCTGACCTTGACCTGGGCCGGCGGACGCCCCTGCGGCCCTCGGGAATTCCGTGGGCACTCCTAGGACCCCCGGCGCGGACCCCGGAAGACGCCCTGACCGTCTGGCCACCGACGCCTCTGCGCAAAGTGATTTCTCGGAAAGCAGAGCTCTTCGAAGAAGGCGGGCCGGACGCGCCCCGCCCCCTGGGCGGTCCCGCCGGCCCTCCAGCGCCCATTGGCCACATTGGCCAGCGCGACCGTCACTCGGCACGCCGGGCCCGTCCCCGGCCTTAAATCCCAATGCCTAAGCCGCCCAGCCCGAGCGCAGCGGCGAGCGTGGGAACGCGGGCGGCGGCGCGGAAGGCGGGCGGCGGCCCGGCCGGTGGTGCAGGTAGGCGCCGGCCCGGGAGGGTTCGGACTCGGGGCGCCGACGGCGGCTGGTGCGCGGAGGCAGCGGCCGTGTGGCCTCGGCGGGCGCGGCCGCCGCCCAGCTGCTTTCTCCCGCCGCCTCTTTCCCCTGAATGTGAAGCGAGCGTCCACGCTGGAGGTTACTGTGCGGCTGCTCCCGAAGATGAGCTGATGCTCTTGAAAAAAATACCATTTTCTTAAAGACTGGTTTGCAAGGAAAACTTTAGCAATGAAGGGAAATGCTGATCCGTTTATTGTAATACCTGCTCCCCTTCGCGCTCGCATCCCGCTGCAGGGAGTAGGGCTGGAGAGTCCTGACTGTGAAGCCGCTCCGGGGCCAGCTGCCGTCCTGGGGGGGGGGGGTGCTGTGAGGCGGGGCGGACTGGATCTTTTATTCTGACTGGGCACAGTTTTTAAGATTTCTGATTGGGGTTGGAGGTCCTTTCCTTCCATTGTAGCCCAGTGTTCCTGGCAAGAAGGTCTGTCTGGGGGTCACAGCTAGAAGAGCATTTTGGTGTAACATAAGCCGCAGGGCAAAGGGCAGACTTTTCCAAGGTGCCATGTGCTCCTTACCGAGAGTGTGACAGTGCTTTCTGAATGGAAACCGGAGGCTGAGTTTTCCAGTTTCAAACTATCCCACAACATATGGGTGATGTAAGACACTTTTTTAGGGGGAAATCTAAGTTAGGATCCATTCCTTAAACGATGGTTCTGAGAGTCCTTTTGGATTATGGCAGATTCCTCCCTGAAGAGATTTAGGAGAGGTTTAGGCATTTTAGCAAGATTGAGACCAGAGGGAGAAATGGCTTTCATGCTTTCAGTCCTTTTGGTCCCACGGGCCGCCCTCAGAGGCGCCGGAGAAGGTGAGTCCAGTGCCTGCGCCACCCGTCAGGCCCTTCCTGGAGGCCGGGTGGGTGGGCCCAGGGCAGCCTCTTAGCGCCTCCTGCCCGGGAAGCCTGACCCGATTTATAGGGGTGCAGATTAGCTCCAGATAGCACTTGGCCCATAAAGAGCTATCACCTAAAAAGTCAAGGAAGAGGAAGTTATAAACATGTGACCGGGTTTATAAATTTTTCCTGGCTTGGCATTTGGTGGAATTAATTTGTTAGTGTTCAATAAATCGTTCTGTGTCATGTTGTGAGATAATCTTAGGCTTTTAATGCTTAGAATCTTGGAGGTGATCTCAGTGACAGTTCAGCTGTCCACATGCTGAGATCTCACCTAACCATGTCTCTTCGCAGAATTAGTAAAATGAGATGCTGCTGGGGGGCTGGGGGCTGAAGTGCCTCTCTGGGCCTTAGTTTTTTCTCTTCTGAACAAAGGGTGTGAATTAGATGATTTCTAAAGTATTTCCATGTTCTGTGAGTCACTCTTCCTCTCCATGCCATCTTTCTTACTTTCCTTTTTCTTTTTCTTATAAATCATCAAGACGTTTGTCCTTAACAGTTTTGGGGTTATGAATCCACTAGGAATCCTGATGAGAAGGGCTTGAGCTGCTTTCTAGAAGGATGTCCATACAAACAAAATTTTGCTTTTTATTTCAGGAGGCTCCTGGGCACAGACTCTAGTTTATGAACTTTGTACTCAGGGGGTGAGCTAAATAAATGCTACCAAGCGGAAGCATCTCAGTAGGTCTGCAGACACCAGCCTTCTCCCCCCCCACCCCGCCCCCATTCCTGGAATGGGGCGGGGGTCTCTGTCTTTCCTCCAGGAATGCTGTGTGGGAACCTGTCCCCTGCTGAATTATTTTCTGGGGAGTGGGGTCGTTTTCTCTTTCTCACCAGGTGCCCTGGCCAAATCTGTCCCTTCTTATTTAAAAACACGAAGGACTGTTTCAGAATTCTGGGACTTGAGATCCATTCACTGCAGATGAGGAGAGGCTCAGAGAGCTGGTCAAATGACTTTCCCAAGGCCTCATTAGAGGAAAGCCTTTGCTGGAGTCTGCGGTTTCCCAGTCGAAGTCCAATTCCCATTTCACACACTTCACTCCTTTCTGAATCCACAAATGGGCAGCTCAGGTTGTTGGATGAAAAAGTTAAAGAGTTGGCACTCCCAGGCCCTCAGGTCCTTTTCTCTGGGACCTGGACTCCTTCTCGATCCCCTGGCCGTCTGCAGGGTGGCTGGAGTCTCCAGAACACACACTTATTGCTTTATGGACCAGGGTGGCTCTGGATGTGACTGTTCTTGGGACATAATGTCTTGTCACTGCTGATTGTTTCAAACTTGTTTGCCCGAAGAGGTCACATTTCAATCGGAAGAACAGAAATGTCTTTTTTTTTTCTGGGTGGGCGTCTGTCCAACTGCCTAGGGGATTTCCACTGTTCTTGTAAACGGGCTGGAGTCAATACGGTGTGGTTGTTCTCTCTCTGTGCCCCTGGGAAAGCCGTCTGCTCTGGCAAGGATATTCTTCCCAAGGATGTCTCTGAGCGCCCCAGGACGGTGAGGCCCCTGGATTCTGGTGCCTTCTGGAAGAGGCTGGCTTTGCTCTGTTCTGTCACTGTGGTTAATTTCCTCACTCTTGTCCACTGTCTCCCCGTTGGTCATGAGTTCCCGAGGAAGAAAGGAGGGATGTAATGACAGCATCTGTTGTCTAGAGAGAGTCCTCCAGGGTCCAGGCACTGTTGCAGGTGCTTCGTACTTGTCGTCTGAGTCCTCACTGCGATGACGCCCAGCACCGGCGGTCATCCTGGTACGTGTGCCCGCAGCGCAGTGATGATCCGTGTCACCCAGCTGGGAGGTGGCGGGGCTCACGTGGGCCCCCAGCTCTCTCATTCCCAGCCCTGCTGTGAAGGAGCAGTCTAGAAAAGATCCTCTTTCTCTGAGAGCACAAATGTTGTATTTGCTCACGCATGCTGGCCCGGCTGGGCATTCAGTGGTGGAAAGGGCTCTGAGTGATGGGCTGTTCGCTGAAGAGATCTGAAAAGGTCGAAGTGATTCCCCCATCTCGTGCAAAAAACAGAATGATGAACGACGCTCTCAGATGCGGTTGTGTTTGCCTGAAAAAGAACGCGGGGTGAAAGCTGGAAAGAACGCAGCCAGGTCCGTCGGTGGTGGCTGTGGGGGAGCTGTCTGGCCCACGCACAGCTGCGGATTTCCCAGGGAGCTTTCAGTTTTCGCTGGGGCTGGAGGTCCTGGCGGCAGGCATTGTCTTCTCACGGCAGGTGGCCCAGAGTTCCCGGATCTGTGGGTTTCCCCCCACCGCCCCTCCGGCCAGGCACCTGGGTCGCCACCCTCTGGTTTTCCTGTTCGCAGTATGTGGGGTGCTGGGAATAGTGAGACAGAAACTGTAACATCACAGGACGTGCCTTTTCTCTCCAAGGATGTGTGACCGAAACGGCGGCCGGCGGCTGCGGCAGTGGCTGATCGAACAAATCGACAGTGCCATGTACCCGGGGCTGATCTGGGAGAATGAGGAGAAGAGCATGTTCCGGATCCCGTGGAAACACGCCGGCAAGCAGGACTACAACCAGGAGGTGGACGCCTCGATCTTCAAGGTAGCGCCTGGGGCTCCCCGCCCTCGCGGGCTTGGGGAGGTGTTAAGCGGTGTCTTCCTTGTTTGCTGGGCAATTAATCCAATTTTTTTAAAAACAAATGGTGATTGAGTGCCAAATAGGTCTCAAAAAATAGACCAGGCGATTTTACATCTATTACATGATTTAATCACTCTGAGGTCAGTTCGATACTGTTGGTCAGTTTGATACTGTTTTTCCAACAAGGAAGCCAAGGGCACTTTCTTCTGTACTACTGGTGGGGACAAGCAAACACAGAGAGAAGACACTTCTTTGAGGCCCTTGAGACTTAAGACCTTTTCTCCTGAGCTATCACCTAAATTCCATTTAGAATTCTAGGACAGGTTTCATTCTTCATTCTTTCAAAGTTACTGCCTCTGCTTGGCAGCGCAGGGTCAGCTCCGATGAGGGAGATACCATCTGCCATTGCTTCCGGGGCCAGGTCACGTGGGTGTCCTGGACCTGCAGCGGGCGTCTAAAAATAGTCCCCTTCCCTTGAGAGCCGTCAGTCCCCCATGCATGGAGAGACTTGCTGTTTAGTTCCACCATGTGCATCCTGCCAGCCAGCGCTGACAGGGAGTCCGCGCCGCGACAGGCCCGGCCCACGCGCTGAGTCTGTCTGCCCCCCGGGGCCCAGTGCGGGAGGTGCTGCTCCCGTCCTTGCTGTGGGGAGGAGAAGGGGCTTGTCCAGGCTCTCCCCTCTCTCGGACGATGGAGCCACTGTGTGAACCCAGGCAGCCCAGCTCCTAGCAGGGCTGTTCTCCTCGATTCAGGCAGAGGAGCCAGGAGTCAGGGCAGCCCCGCTGGTTATCAGAGTCCCCTGTGGGCTTCCTGAAGGCTCCAGGTGTGCAGGCCCCACTCCTGGGGGGATCTGGAGCCCCAGGTCAAGGTGAGCCCAGACTTCCACATTTGCAAACTGGCAGACCAGAGGTGGTCTGGCTCAGAACCTGGGGTGCAGACCACTGCTGTGTGTGCCTGTTCTGCTGGCATCTGGGGGCCAGAGTTGAGAGGGGGGAGTGAGTGAGCGTGGGGAGGAGTGGGAGGCTGGGACTGGGGGCCTGGACAGACCCCAGATGCGCATGACTGAGGAGAGCGAAGGCTGCAGACGCAGCACAGCCTCTGACTCTTGGCCCAGATGACTGTCTTTGACACACAAAACCCAAACGACGAGAGATCGTACTTGGGCCTCAGAGCGGAGCACAGAGACGTCTAAGCTGGCTCATGAGGCATCTCAGTTTGTCACGTCTCTGCCTGATGTTTGCCAGGGGGGCTGCATGTTGGAGCAGTTCTGCTGATGTGTAACCCAGGTCTCAGAGCTCTCAGACAGCTGGATGCCAGGTGCTGGCCCCTGCAGGAAAGGTGGGTGCGCACAGCACCCTGCACTCACCCTCCGGGGGGCCTGGCCACCCCTCCCGTCGAGGAAGGACCGGGGGAGGGGCCTGGGCATCCATTCTTGGTGGCAGTGTGGATCCTCTCTTGTAGAAGTTTCTTGCCGTTGGCATCATGGGCAGCTTCCGTTGGGAATGGCTAAATTTTAATAGTGCCCAAGGTCTACTTGGGAATTCTCGATCAGAGCCGGCTACAAGCCAGATCTCCTGCTCCTTGGCACCGTGGACATCGGGGCCAGATTATTCCTCGTGGGGCGTCCTGTGCTCCTAGTAGGAGGCTAAGCAGCACCCTGGCCTCAATCCACTAGATGCCAGTAGCACCGTCTGCCCCACTATGACCACCAGAAAGGCACCCAACATTGCCAGGTATCTGCCCCCCCAGGGGCACCCTCTCCCTGACCGTGGAGAGCCCTGCTGGGAGCTGAGCCCGACAGGATGAACAGATTTCAGCAGGGGTGGGGTGCCGAGGGCCCTGCGCAGTTCTGACCGCTACAGCCCCCTCAGCAGGCTGGACCTGCGGCTGCACAGCCCTGGCTTGGGTCTTGCTGGCGGAGATGCAAGGCCTCTCCCTTCATCCTGCTCCCTGCTCCAGCTTTTGCTTGGAGGATAATGAAATAGAGCCCCAGATTTATACATCTTATGCAACGTTCTTCACGGCCGTTTCAACAGCATTGAGGAAAATGTGCAAGATTCCCAATGTTTCCGTTGATTACGCAGCCGCTCAGTGTGGCAATCTTAGTGAGTCCACAATCTCAGCAGGAATGGGGGTGGGCTGGGGCCGGGCGCCCCCCCCAGCAGGGTGGCCAGCGAGAGGGCCACAGCGGGGCTGGCGGGGGACACGGGGGCGGGGGGAGGATGGGTCTGCACGTCCCTGAGTCCAGCTCCCTTCCATCCTCCGAGGGGCCTGTCTCTGCTGCGTCCAGCCAGCAGAGCTTTGCTGTGGGAGGAAGCCAGCAGTTGGGCCTTGAGCCACCTTAGGGGTTTTCTGGTCGAGTAGAGAAACTTTTGTTTCAAACGTTCAAAGAAAACTTATCAAAAATTTGAGTTAAGGAAAAAAACACGAGCCTGCTTCCCTGCCTTAGTGAGTGGGCTGTAAGAAGCCGCTTATACCAGAGTGTCCTTCGTTGCCTGCTGGTGTCATGCTGTGGTCAGCTTCGCGGCCTGGACCAGAGATGGGCGATGGGGGAGCCATCGGCTCGCAGTGTGCTGTCCCTGAGCACACGGACACTTATTTTTAAAAAGTACTCTGCCTTCCTCCTTTTCATGAGGTTAGGGGTGTGCCTCCTGGGCTGTCCCTCCACCGACAGGCTTTGTGGCATCACACAGCAGCAGCTGTTTCAGGGTCAGCTGGCCTCCGAGGAAGCAACTCGCATTAGGTTTTTAAAGCACGAGGATGGGCAGTGTTAAACGGGGCAGAGCCGTGGTCCTGGGCTAGGTGCTGGCTCCCGGCGAGCGTGCGGCAGTGCGGACAGGGGCCGCCGCCTGGCTGTTAGGGTGGGCCTCCAATGACTCTGTTCTGTCTAGTATTTGCTATGAAGGGCTTTGAGAGATCACCCAGGTAAGTCGATATTTTCAAGCCAGCCAGAGAGCTCCCAAAAGGTCTCAGCAGGTCGGCAGTGGGGACCCTCAGGCCAGCCTGGTACACGGCCTGACCATGGGGTCCTGCTTTCCTCTGTGGATGTCCTGGCTTGCTTTACGGGGTGACTATGAGCTCTGAATGGGGCAGTGACCACGCCAGGGCCCTGCGGCTGTGCAGTTCTGCACATGTGCCGGCTGGCCCCAACACGGCCCCCAAAGGCAGGCTCTCCCGGGTCTGTCTGTGATGTGGGTTAACCAGCCCAGTGGTTCTCAAATGGGACTGTGCACGTCAAGACCTTACTTCCCTGGGGGACACATGGCAACGCCTGGAGATGTTTTGGGTTGTGACCCCCAGGAGTGGGGGTGCTACCGGCATTTAGTGGGTAGGCCAGGGGTGCTGCCAGCCTCCCCATAGTGCCCAGAGCCCCAGATGTCAGTAGTGCCTGGTAGAGAAACTGATTCAACGTAATACAAATTTGACATTACTGTTCAGGGTGTATGTGGTTTACTCTTTAATTTGTGTGAAGAAATAAATCAATGCACGGTCTGCGATGCAGCTGCTAGATGAAGGAAAAAAAGATTGTAAAGGATTGAGAACCGTTTACTTCTAAGCCTGTTTCTAAAGGGGACTGTGCACCTGCGGGAGGAAGGCGTGGCTCATGCTCATTAGGAGGAACACCCTTCCAGTCTCTCTCCCTCGGGCAGAGATGCAAACTCTGAGCTCAGGGCATCAACAGAGGAGCGACCACAGGCACTGGACTGTAAGGTCTTGTTCTATCTGGGGAAAGCGCCAGGACTCACAGTGGGGACGGGACTCACAGGGCCGCGACCAAGTTTCTGGAAGCGTGGCCTCCTGAGTCGCAGTCACTGGGATGCTGGCTGATGGTGCAGATTCCCAGGCCTAACCCACAGCTCCGCAGGGACTCTCAAGGGCCAGGGCCCGGGCCTGCATTGTACCTAGCTTCCCCGGGGACTGGTGTGTGCCAGAAGCTGCGAAACGCTTGCTGCTGGCCGTAGTGTAGTGGACATCCCTTGGAAGTCAGAACGGCTGGTTTTCAATCCCCAGGCTGGGTCATGTTGGGAAAGGTACCTCTCGTAACTTTTCCTGAGTGGGGTTGAGAACTCCCTCCAGGCCTCGTATTATCTTAGGCTGGAAGACACACCTGCTGCTGCCTGACAGCAGCCTGCTAATCACTCTGTTCCAGTTTTGAAATCTGAAAACTGTGCCCATACACAGGTTTAAATTTTTTTTTCTAATACTGCCCCATCTTACCTTTAACTTCAAGTTTCCAGCTGGAAACATGTGGTCCTGATGTAGATTCTAAGGTTTGGAGAGGTCAGAAAACAGATCTGTGAAAAACCCACAGTTTTAAACAGTACCCTGGCAGAGGAGGGGATGTGGGTAGGGAGGGTTAGAATAAACGCCAAAGTGCAAAACAAAATTGCTGCTAAAAGTAGCAAGGCAGTGGATGACCACATTCAGACTTTTTTCCCCTACAAATAAAATCTTTTATTTGTCACCATTACACATTCAGACTTTTTGCAAATGTTCCCTTAGCCAGAGGTTGATTTGAAAAAGCAAGTGTAACTTCCTCTTTGTGTTGTGTTTCTTGCTTGCCCTGTCTGGCACGGAGCGCAGCAGCCTCCTCCTCCTCCTCAGCCTCCTCCTCTCCCCCTCTCCACCCAGTGGCCAGAGAAAGGTGACTTTCAGGAGGGCGAGAAAGGTCTGCAGATACTGTCCATCGTGACAGCTGTATATATCATGTGCTTCCTTTTCTTCCCTCAGGCCTGGGCAGTTTTTAAAGGGAAGTTTAAGGAAGGGGACAAGGCCGAACCTGCCACGTGGAAGACAAGACTCCGCTGTGCTTTGAACAAGAGCCCAGATTTTGAGGAAGTGACCGATCGGTCCCAGCTGGACATTTCTGAGCCATACAAAGTTTACCGCATCGTCCCCGAGGAAGAGCAAAAATGTAACTATCCTTTTGGTGCCCTCAGCCTGACAGTCTGGGTCTAAGTCACCACCCACGGGGTCTGGGGCAAGTGCTTTTAGCTAAACAGCTGCCTCCTCTGTACCAGCAGAGGCCGAGGTCTCCTGCAGTTTCCAGTCGAGTGAGAGGTGGCCGTTGGGGTGGGGGTGGGGTGGCTGCTGGCTCTGCTGCTCAGACCAGGAACACGTGGTGGGGCCTCCGGGAGGCTCAGAAGTGGGTGGCACAGGGCTCCTGCAGGTGAGGATGAGGGGCTCCTTGTCTCCCAGCAACTCGCAGGGCAGCCAGGGGCAGCGCACGGTAGACGAGGACCAGCGGGCTTCCAGGGCGGAGGGCAGAGGGCGACCGCGCCCTGCCGGCTTCGTTGCTGGAGGGCGGATGGGCTTCGCTCTGTTCCATCCTGACCCGCTGTCCAGGAACTGCAGGGCAAGGTAACTCCTGCAGTCCCTCCCGCTGTGAAATCACGAGCGCGATTCTGAGACGACTAAAGCAGAAGAGTGGACCCCGGCTCACAGGCCCCCGTCCTGCTCCGCACGCTCTGATCAGACATTGCTAACCAAGCAGGACTGCCTGAGCTCTGCTCTGGCCTCGGAATCCCCTCCGAAGCATGCTGAGCAGCTGCTGTAGGTCAGAGCTGGCCCGGGAGATGAGATCCAATCACTGTCACTGGTTTAAAACATTCCTTTGATTTGCTGATTTTCTGGCCATTTGATGTAGCCTTAGAGTATTGGCCCAACATCCTCTTCTCCTTAGAAGCCTATTTACTAGCCCGAATACTGCCTCGGGCTGGGCATAAATCCTGAGATTCTGGGGGTGCTCTCCCCACTGCAGGGAGGTCGAAAATGTTGACGTGTAATTCTAAAAAAGTTAAAATCGTGGCTCGAATGAAGCTGGTGAGCCCAGGTTGGGGAGCTATTTTCCTCACTCACAAGGGCACCAGCACGACGACAAAGGCTGCTTGACTGAAGATGAGATGTTGGTGCCCAGGGTCGGTGGGAGGCGGAAGGCCAAGCTGAGCCCGTGCGTGTCCCCCCGGGTCACACAGCCGTGCTGGGGCGGTGATCTTTCCTGCTGATCGTTTGTAGCTTTAAATGCCTGTGAACTAACACCTAACTGTGCTGAGCTGGAGCCCTGACCCATAATCAGGGGTAAGTCAGGCTGGCCTTCCGCACGGAGAAGCAGCTGCCCCGCAGGGACACCGCTGCGTTCACGCTCGAGGTTGCCTGCTGCCCCCTTCCTTCCTGCCAGTTTTGGGTAATTTCTCCACCTCACAGAGTTAACTGTGATTTGAAAGAATACAGAAGTTTCTCTTAATTCCCTGCCCCCAAGATCAGCCGAGCCTGAACTGGCAGGTGACCCTAACTTGTTTACAGTGTGGCGCGCAGCCAGCATCACCTGCAGGGGTGATGTTACAGAAGCAGCAGGTTCTCGGGGGCAGAGAAGTGCTGTATTTGCATAGTGTCTAGATGGACACACTCTCCTCTGTACTTCAGTGGTTTGCAGGCTGCACCGGGGGTGCCCCCACTGCCCCCTACTTCCCCACCAAGAGCTGCTGCATGAATTCTCAAATCTATCAAAATGGAATCAAAATTCAGTCGGGATGAAACAGTGGGTCGGTTCATCCCAGTTCAGATGGTTGGGACTGATGAATTCCAACAGACAAGTGTTTGCTGGTCATAATGCGTCTCCCACTAGGCTAGTCTCTGCTGGGGAAGAGGCTGGGGGGGAGGGGCAGGTCCAGAGTGCTTGGGGTGGAAACGCTCCTGTGCCTGGAGACGGCTCCTGATGCAGGCGGGTCCAGCCTGGGCCTCCGTGAGCCTCCACGGCGCGCCCACCGTGTGGGCGCCACAGATGCACACGTGTATATTTGGAAAGGCCAAAAGGAGATTTCCTGCCCATTAACTTAAAAAAGGAAGACTCCGAGCTGCAAACACACTGCAGGAAACCTCTGCATGTCTTTAGATGCCCCTGCCCGTAATTCTCACCTCTGTTGGGTGTAGAGCCACTCTGACAGGAGCTCATTTTCATCTCGGCCAACAGAAGGAAGACACCCGAGCGCTCCCTTGTCCTGTGCGTGCGGGACGCAGCGGCCAACTTCTCTTTTGACTTTGCTGATCACACGGCTGTGGCAGCCTGGGAAAACGGCGTCTAGGCCTTTCCCCAGCCCCCAGAGCCGCATACGGACTTTTATTTCCTTTAACCTAGCCTTTAGAAAAACCACTGACCGTGGCCTTGGGGGCGGTCGTGATGCCTCAGCGCTCTGTCATGCGCTTGTCCGGTTTTCCGTAGGCAAATTAGGCGTGGCGGCTCCTGGCTGCGTGAGTGAAGCCCCGGAGATGGAGTGTGGGCGCTCCGAAATCGATGAGCTGATCAAGGAGGTGAGTGGGGGCCGTGCCCGGGGCCCAGCTCTCCCAGCTGGGAGGTGAGGCCAGGCGCCCGCTGCTCAGCCGCCTGCGCCCGGCAGCCTGCCCTTCCCCGGGGGCTGGTGCGGAGCCGCCTGCTCTGCATGGCGAGGCTCCCTCAGGCTCTGAACTCTTCCTGTTTTCACCATTTTGAGTTGGCATCGCATCCTCCCCTGCCTTTTTAGGCAGGCAGGCGGCCGTGCGGCATATGCTGCCCGGGTGTCAGCGTACTAGCTGGCGGGCTGGCTGTCTTGTAATTTGCAGCGTTTAGTCCTCGATGGGTTGGAAGGCCACAGAAGCAGGCTTGTTAGAATTATACAAAAACTCGCAGTTAACAGGCTGTAAGTAAAGGCTTGATGGGGTTTCCTTAGGCAAAATGCGTGGGTTTTTGAGCACTAACTTAGCTGCCATTAGCCTTCTAAGTTTCCATGAATAGTCCCCGGCCGGCACTGCCCGGCTAAAATGATCCCACAGCTTTGGCAGAAGGCGGTGTGGTGCTCTAGAAAGTTGCTCAGTTCTCACGTGGCAGTTGTAGAAGCCTTCAGAGCGGCCTGACGTCAGAACAGGTGACGTGACCCAGCCCCCCTGAAGGCTGCCCGACTTCCCTGTCGACAGCAGCCGTTCGGTTTCCAGGTGGGCTTTGGCAGCAGATGCGGCGAATTCCTGGCTTCATTTCTTTCCAGCGATGTCCCATTTTCCGTACAAGGCTTTTCTGCCAACTCAGTTGGACTGGCACACCAGGGTCATAGGAAAGTCAGAACTCAAAACGTTTCCTAAATGGGTTATCCACCTCCTTCAAGGAACTTGTCAGAGAGTGAAAATCTCGACCCGTGGAGTGTGGCAGAGTTCGTCCAGCCTCCCCATTCACTGGTGTCCCAGGACTCGCCTGCTTCCCCTGGGCATCAGGGCAGCTGGATGACCTGGCCCTTTGGTTATACAACAGGCAGGTCCATGTCAAAGGCCCATGAACCTACCAGGGGCCCTGAGAGGCTAGTGACTCGGCCCCATGGTCTAATTGCTAAGCTGGGTAGAGTTACAAGATGCAGAGTGAAACGTTCCTTCATCGAGTGTGGTAAGAGATGACACCAAGGTTTAGTTAAGTCTGTACCAGCACTGGCGTCCCAGTCACAGCACCGCTCTTCTCGGCCCTGCCTGCAGCCTTCCGTGGACGAGTACATGGGGATGGTCAAGAGAAGCCCCTCCCCGCCGGAGGCCTGCAGGAGTCAACTCCTCCCAGAATGGTGGCTGCAGCAGCCAGGCGCAGGTGAGGGTGGAGCCCAGGGCTGGCAAGTGGGTGCCACGCACATTCAGTGGTTATCAGCCTTCAGTCCTTTCTGCCTTACAGCCACCGGGGTTGGTGGGGCAGTGGGGCAGTGGGGCTACAGTAACCCCTGTTTTACTGAAGGTGACTGAGCCCAAAAAGCTGCCATGGCTTCTAACCCCCAAGGCAGACCCCATCCACACCTCTGCCCCGACTTGTCACCACCCCCTGGAAGGCCCAGTGTCCTTCCCACGTAGTTGGTGGTGCTCCCCACTGTGCTCCTGGGAAAGGTGGGCGGAGGGGCGGGTCCGCCTTCTCCAAGGCCAGAGGGAAGACGCAGCTCCAAGCCACGTGGGTCACTGGCCCATTCGGTCAGTCATTCACAACACAAAGGAGCCCTCAGAGCCAAGGGCAGCTCAGGGTGTCTGGAGAGGGGGAGAGCTTGGAACCTTGAATTTAAATCCCAGGTCAGGAAGTTGCATGTCTTATTCAAACCTCCGTTTACTTGTCTATAAAATGGGGACACCAAGACCTGCCCACTGGGTCATGAGGACCAAACGGGGCATTTGCCCTTTGATTAGCTTCTGATGCTCCCTGCCCCCTCCTTGAAACGACCCTCCCTCCCTTGGGCAGGGACCCCTCTGCTTCCTCCTTTACCTCTTTCCCCCACTGTCCGCTGTGGGAGGCCGGGAGTTGACAGCTGGCCCAGTGGCCTGAGGCCGGCAGGCTGTGAGGGGCAGGAGCGCTCCAGGAGTGCTCGCTGGGCCTGGCTCCCCTCTGACACCAGGCCTGGGTGGCAGGCACAGTCCTGCCATGTTCTGGTAGCAGGCCCTCGGATGGGGAGGAAGTGTAGCCCCAGTGTCACTGCCACACGGTCAGGAATCTTTCCACTGGGTCGGGAAGGAAGACACTGGATGCAGCGGAATCCTGTGGCTGGGCCTCAGGAGCAGCGGCGCTGGCTCCCTGTGCACGCCGGGTCTGGCTGGGTCTGAACTGGTTTTCGTCCTTCTCCCCAGGCTTGCCCCTGGTGCCGGGCTACACTGCCTACGATGCGCACCACTCAGGTACGGAGATGCTGGGGGTGGGGTGGGCATCCTCTAAAGACACAGCTTGAAGGCCCCGTGTGGGTCTGCGAGGGCCGTGGACGAGGGTGATCTGGCGTCCGAAGTTGGGAGTTGCTTCCTCCTCCTCACTGTGCGGTTTGGGAGTTAGCACATGGCTGGTCTTTTTGTTCGACCAACAGATACATTCAAAGAGCTCTTCAGAGGCGTAACTAGGGGGACAAAGTATGGGGACAGACCAGCTCTGCCCCTCCTGTGTGGCTCCAGGGGCAGTAACTGAGCCACTTGGAACCCAGGCTCCTGACCTATGAAGCAGGAAGAGTAATGGCCACCACCTCACGAGCTTGTAACACGGTGTTATTATTACAACTTTCTGGGAGGAACCCAATTGGTCAACGAACGTCGCTGGTGTCAGTTTCCTTTACTCTCTCCCAAACCCAACTTTACGATGACAACGACGGTAATGGTGTTGATGGTGGTCTTGGCCGTGGTGCTGGGGGTGACGGTGGTGGCTGACATAAATGAACGCTGGCTAGCTAGGTGCCGGGATCACCGCTGAGACCTTCATGGCCTTGTCTCCTTGCTCCACCACCTCTAGGCCGGTGCCATTATTATCAGAAGCTTTGGGCCACGCACCTCACGGGCGGCAGAGCCAGGCTTGGGCCCCAGGCTGTCCCATCCGTGCTTCCCGCCACGTAAAATGCTGGAGACAAGTGCAAGTTAACACACCTCGCTGTGCGGGCGGGTACAGACGCCCCGTGGCCGCCAGCGTGCACCCTCGGCTGTACAGAGTCGAGGTGATGGGGGCAGAGGCGACGTCTGAGCTGGTGGTGTGGCTCGGTGCCGAAGAGCATGGCCCCGCCAGGCGCCCCCCCCAGCAGTTGTGTTGCCAAGGCCTTCACCTGTCTACGCCTCAGGTTCCTGACCTGGGAAATGGTGCCGTTATGAAGTCTCTCCATCGGGGTCGTTGTGAGGCTTAAACGTGCTAATAGGTCCAGAGCTCCGGCGCCTGGCCCGCGCTGGAAGGCCGGGACACACTCTGTAGCTCCTCTTTTGTGTTTTCCCAATGTGTCTAACAGCCGCCTGTGCGGTGCCCCCATGTGTCCAACACAAAGATGGGCGCTCGGCCCCCTCATGCAGAGGGGCGGGGCCATTGTCCCCACTCTGCCGATGGGAAGACTGGGTACAGAGTGGTGGGGCCGGCTGCCCTGCTCCCCGAGCTTTGGAGTCCGCACTCCTGGGATCTTCGCCGCACCGCCCCTGTGGTCAGACCGTCCCAGCAGGGCCGCCCGAGGGGGGCGAGCGCCTGGGACGGGAGCAGGACGGGGTTGCTGTGGGCTGCACGGAGGGCTGACCGGGGCTGCC